AAACGTCTTCCATTTAAGGGTTATGGAGGCCACTGTGCTCTTAGGAACCTTAAGTTCAGCAGAAATTTTTTTGTAACCTTGGCCAGTTCTGTGCCTTGCCACAATTCTGTCTCTGAGCTCTTCAGGCAGTTCCTTTTGACCTCATGATTCTCATTTGCTCTGACATGCACTGTGAGCTGTAAGGTCTTATATAGACAGGTGTGTGGCTTTCCTAATCAAGTCCAATCAGTATAATCAAACACAGCTGGACTCAAATGAAGGTGTAGAACCATCTCAAGGATGATCAGAAGAAATGGACAGCACCTGAGTTAAATATATGAGTGTCACAGCAAAGGGTCCGAATACTTAGGACCATGTGATGTTTCAGTTTTTCTTTTTTAATAAATCTGCAAAAATGTCAACAATTCTGTGTTTTTCTGTCAATATGGGGTGCTGTGTGTACATTAATGAGGAAAAAAAATTAACTTAAATGATTTTAGCAAATGGCTGCAATATAACAAAGAGTGAAAAATTTAAGGGGGTCTGAATACTTTCCGTACCCACTGTATATATATAAATATATATATATATATATAGATCATGGTTTATAAAATATTTAAATTGTTATATATTATCTAAATCTTAAAGTAAACTAACATTATATTATAAATTATAATAGTATATAAATTTATATGCTATCTGTTAATTACATTATTTTAATTATTTATGGAAAAATTTAATTGTATAAAAAATGTAATATGTAAAGTATATACATGTATATTTTTATTATATTTATTTTGTTAAATGTATACATGTAATACAAAGTATATTAATTTATTTTATATATTTGATTTCAATTATTTTATTTTTATTTTATTATTTATAATTATTTACATGAATGATTGATACTTAACAAAAAAAATTTAAAATAATAATTCTAATAATATGAATTGAATCTGCTTACTTCGACTTTGTACTTTTACTCTTCCCATAACATCGACAGTTGTATCAAACACAATCACACTGGTCTCGATCAGAGCGTCTCGAAGCAGCTGTGTCATACTTCAGTCAGACAGCACCTCTGAATGAGCCCGTGTGCTTCATCAAGATCTACAGCAGTGTCTGTCTGAATCTGACATAAAAAATACATCCCTGAGGAACTTCATCCCAACTGGGAATGTCAACACCAGCATATGAAGTCCCACACAAACATCTGAATCTCTGAACTCAACGCTGCCAACGCAGCACCTGCTGACAGAGAGTCAGAGAGGTGGAGAGGTCAGGAGACGACCACCACCACCATCATCATCATCATCATCACTAGATGATGTACCAGGACAAAGAGAACATGAGGGAAAGCAGGTCCTTATACTGCAGAAAGACTCTGACGGAAGCAGGCAGACTCAATCAGGAGGAGTTGATGTTTAATGCTCTGTTTTTACATTCAGAATATAATCTGTAAGAGAAAGACAGGCAGACATGTGGAGTACGACAGTGATGAAGATCCCTACAACTGATTCTCCCTGACATCTGACTGCCTGTCAGCATCAAACAGAACAAGAAAAAGGATTTAAATGCCGGTGTAAGCTCAGACGCCCACAGAGATCCTTACAAACTGAACAGAACTTAATCTGAACTCAATGCCAGTGTTTCAAAACACAAATTAATATGGAAACCCCTTTGAACTGAAATAAATATGAACATAAAAGAACTGAATTTGAACTGATCTGAATCTGACCTGAACTGAATCTAAAACAAATACCAGCAAATAAAATAAAATACAATACAATTCATTTTTAATAGTATTTAATTTTATTTTAACCAATACTAATTATTTTAGGTATCCAAAAACCAATACACATAACTTACTTATTTAATATTCATTTTATTTATTTTTATTTTATTACTTTTTGGTCAATGTTTCAAAGCATGGGTGACCACATTTGAACTGCACTGAAATACATTTGAATTTTAATAAAATCTGGAATTAACTTAATCTGAATTTAAATGTCAGCATTTTGAGGGTCAGGTGACATTGGAGATTTCCAAGTTTTCTATGTATTTCCTTCTCTTGTTCACATTTATTTGCAGAACCACATTAAATAGGGAAACCACTTAAATGCGCTAAAAGTTTGGGGTCGGGGAGATTTTTTTAATGTTTCTGAAAGAAGTCTCTTGTGGTCACCGAACCTGCCTTTATTTAATAAAAATACAACAGAAACAATAGAAAGTATAAAAGAACAGCATTTATTTGAAATGAAAATATTCTGTAATGTGATATATTCCTTTAATACCCCTTTCTATCAATTGAATGAGTCCCTGCTTAATTAAAGTATTAGTTTATTTTAAAGAAAAAAAAAATCTTACTGACCACAAACTAGCTAACTTACTGAACTTAGCGAAATAACTTCCTTTTGTGATCTGGGGGTATTCCAGAAAGCAGGTTGTGTGCCATACCCGGGTATGTTTAAGGGTAAGTAAGCGGATAAACTCAGCATCCGGTTCCAAAAGCGGAGTTAACTTTCAGGGTATGGAAGTAGCTACAGCAACTTATTCACTAAACATAACCTGCTCCAAACCAAAAACTGTGGTTAAAATTTCAATGTATTGAACTGTGGGCTAACTGTATTGTTGCATCCACAAAAACTTTAAAAATGTGACATTTCAGCACTTTCTAGACAACAACTGTGCTGAGATCAGCAGCCGATGTGTGAAACTTTGATACTGTCATAGTGTTTATTCTCAGCTCAGCTGACGAGACGTTTATTTGCTCCAGATTGTCTGCTTGTGCTAAATGATTTTTATTACATCCTCCGCCCAGCGCCTGGCAACCAGAGCCTGACAACGAGACTCTGCCCCTCTCATCCTGGCGCTGCCACGGCAACATGTGGTGGGCAGATGGAGCGGCGCGGCTGCCAGGATAAGGTTGAACACGCGCAGCTAAGTGTGATGACCGCAGCCGAACGCCAGACGCCTCTTGGCCCATAAAAAAACCTCTCAGGCTGCACAAACACGCCCATGTTCACTGCCAATATGATTCAGAAACTCAACACACAACACACAAACAAACAGCTAGTAAACACAACTTCAGAACTGCGAAATAAACTCCAGTTATACATTGTCTGAATAGGTTATGAGTGGTTTCCTCATGGTAAACTCATCACAATGCTTAGGTGCTTTGGGTGGTTGTCATGCCATTTCATGTGGTTGCTACGGTATTCAAAATATTACAGTGTGCTGCTTTGTGGTTGCTAGGGAATTCTGGGTGGTCGCTTGGGCACTGGTATGTTGCACATTAAATAAGCCTTGGATGAGTGTATACTGCCAGTATAATGGGTTAAATAAATGATTGTGTATATCATGTGTAATACTAGTCTTCCAAAAGCAGAATATTACCCAATTAAAATGCTCAGATACATAAAATATTTAGTATTGGTTATAAAATAAAACAAATAAAAAAATTAATCAGAAACAAACTAAATTAAATATTATGCATATTGGTTTTCAGATACCTAAAATAATTAGTATTGTTTATAAAAAAAACTAAATAAAAAAATACAATAAAAATAAAACGAAGACAAAAAATAAATAAAAAATATAATATTTACAAAAACCAAATAAAATTAAATAAAAGTTGTGTGCATTGTTTTCAGATACACTACCGCTCAAAAGTTTGGGATCACTTGCAAATTTCTTTGGTTTCCAAAGAAAAACACATTTTCATGCAATTCACAAACAATTTTATTCATTTCACAAACAATTAAAATTAATCAGATGACTTTTAAAGAATGATCCACATTTGTGCATAGAGGCCTATTATTAGCAATTGTCAGTCCTCTGCATTAATCTCCTTGAAGTTAATCATTTTATAAGGCTAACTGATTATGAGAAAACCCTTTTGCTATTGTGTTGCACAGCTGAGAACTGTTGAACTAATGGAGCAAACAAGGGAGCATGGCATTCTTTAGGTTAGTTTAGTATCTTACACTGAACAAAATTATAAACGCAACACTTTTTTAGCCCCCATTTTTCATGAGCTGAACTCAAAGATCTAAGACTTTTTCTATGCACACAAAAGGCCCATTTCTCTCAAATTGTGTTCACAAATCTGTCTAAATCTATGTTAGTGAGCTCTTCTCCTTTGCCGAGATAATCCATCCACCTCACAGGTGTGGCATATCAAGATGCTGATTAGACAGCATGATTATTGCACAGGTGTGCCTTAGGCTGGCCACAATAAAAGGCCACTCTAAAACGTGCAGTTTTATCACAGCACAATGCCACAGATGTCACAAGGTTTGAGGGAGCGTGCAATTGGCATGCTGACTGCAGGAATGTCCACCAGAGCTGTTGCCCGTGAATTGAATGCTAATTTCTCTACCATAAGCCGTCTCCAAAGGCGTTTCAGATAATTTGGCAGTACATCCAACCGGCCTCACAACCGCAGACCACGTGTAACCACACCAGCCCAGGACCTCCACATCCAGCATCTTCACCTCCAAGATCGTCTGAGACCAGCCACCTTTCTTTAGTTTGTTTACAGGCTCAAAATGGCCAGAAAAAAAGAACTTTCATTAGAGACCCATCAGTCTATTGTTGTCCTTAGAAAGGAAGGCTACTCAATGCGAGAAATTGCGAGGAAACATAAAATTTCTTATCATGCTGTAAACTACTCCCTTCAGAGAGCAGCACAAACTGGCTCTAACAAGCACAGAAAAAGGAGTGGGAGGCCCCGATGCACAACTGTGCAAGAAGACAAATATCTGAGAGTGTGTAGTTTAAGACAAATACGCCTCACAGGTCCTCAACTGGCAGCTGCACTAAATAGTACCCGTCAAACACCAGTGTCAGCATCAACAGTGAAGAGCCGACTTCAGGATGCTGGACTCCATGGCAGAATTGCAAAGAAAAAGCCGTATCTCAGACTGGCCAATAAAAACAAAAGACTGAGAAGGGCAAAACAGCACAGACATTGGACACTGGAAAACTGGAAGAAGGTGTTGTGGACAGATGAGTCCATGTTTGAGGTCTTCGGATCAAACAGAAGAACATTTGTGAGACGCAGAACAAATTAAAAGATGCTAGATCAGTGCTTAATACCTTCAGTCAAGCATGGTGGAGGCAGCAGGATGGTTTGGGGGTGCTTTGGAGGTGGTAAAATAGGAGATTTGTACAGAGTGGAAGGGACCTTGAGGAAGGAAAGCTATCACAAGATTTTGCAATGCCATGCCCTGTGGACAGCACTTAACTGGGGCCAATTTCATCCTACAACAGGATAATGACCCAAAACACACTTCCAAAATGTGTCAGCAATATTTGAAGAATAAGCAGTCAGCCAGAATTCTGACTGTAATGGAGTGGATCCCAAACTTCTGAGCAGTAGTGAACATAACATATAAAAATAAATTAAAAATAAAATATTCAAACCATGCATTCTTTCCTTGGAGGTTTGATTGTGTTTTAATGTTAAAATAATGGTATTTAATGTTAATATCTGATATTTTAGTGACAAAATACACTAAAGTTAGTGGAAATCCCAATATTAACATAAAATATCAAAATATAAAATAAAGTACAAATACAATTTTTGCTTTGGCATTCAGGGTGGTTGTCAGGGTGTTGCTAAGCAGTTGCTAATGTGTTCATAAAGTTTCTTGTGCATTGCTAGGGAATTCTGAGTGGTTGCTAGGATGATGTGAGGTATAATTCCATGTCTGTAGCACAAATGGTAAGTGATGAGGTGTGTATTAAAACGTTTCTTCAAATAACTAACCCTATGTATGAGCAACAGTAAAACCAAGCACCACTAATGCACACTTAACAGTCTATTCAATGACTGCAAACTCATTCAGATGCAAATGACTCTGTAATAGTCTAAAGTTACTTTGATAACCCACTGAGATACAAAGATAAAGAACGCTTGATATTATTTAAAGAGGTGTGAAGCACGACAGCACCAGTGAAATGTGCTTCTGTCTCACACATGCTGTGACCTCAAAAACACTTAAAGTTTACTAGAGTGAGTTTCCAGACCACTGCTGGGTTAAACAGCTCTGAAAGTGCTCTCCTGTGTGAGCGTGTGCTCAACTCACAGTCCTGAGACGATCGGTGCTTAAAGGTGAACCGCAGGTGACTCCTGTTGACGTCTTCAATCGGGATCGCAACCTGCAACATAGGATATCACAAAAAAGATTAAGTTAATGCAGATAGAAAGAAACTAAGACTAGAAAACACCTTAAAGGTCTTGAATATTAATAAAAGACAAATATGGATCCAAATAGACACAGGGTGCAGTCCTTGTGACCTTTACGCTGAACTTTATTCTTATTTAAATTGTTTAAACAGTTTCAACCGTGTAACCCTCTTTTAGGATTTTAAATATTTAAAAGGGTCAAATCATGCATTTTTGCCCTTTGAAGCTTGATTATATATATATTAATGTTAATATATGTGACCCTGGACCACAAAACCAGTCTTAAGTGTAAATTTTTCGAAATTGAGATTTATACATCATCTGAAAGCTGAATAAATAAGCATTGATGTATGGTTTGTTAGGATAGGACAATATTTGGCCGAGATACAACTATTTGAAAATCTGGAATCTGAGTGTGCAAAAAAATCTAAATACTGAGAAAATCACATTTAAAGTTGTCCAAATGAAGTTCTTAGCAACGCTCTTCTTAATCAAAAATTACGTTTTGATATATTTACAGTAGGACATTTACAAAATATATTCATGGAACATGATCTTTACTTAATATCCTAATGATTTTTGGCATAAAATAAAAATGTATAATATAATATAATGTATAATTTTGACCCATACAATGTATTTTTGGCTATTGCTACAAATATACCCCAGCGACTTAAGACTGCTTTTGTGATCCAGGGTCACATATGGTATTCCAATATTGGGAAAAAATTCCAACATTAACATAAAACAAAATAAAATAAAATAAAAGTTGTTGTAAATACAATTAAATTACATTTTATGAGTGTTGGTTTTCAGATACCTAAAAAATTTGTAGTGTCAGAATTAAAGTAAACTAAAGTAAAGTAAAGGTAAAAGCAAAACAAAACAAAACAAAATAAAATATGGACTTTGGAAGAAATTGCACACCTAAACTTTCCCAGAATACATTTGTCCTGAGTATTTTGCCTCTACTTTGGCAAGTAATATAAATGACTCTTCGCTTAATGTAGCAGACATTACATCTGACACTGTGTAAGTGATGTTCACCTTGATGGTTTCAAACCAGCGAGGCTGTTTGACCTGGTAGTAAATGACCGATTTGTACTCCAGAATACCTTCATCACCAGCTCCAGGAAATATCACGTTCTAGATGGCAAAAATAAAAATAAATAAAAGGCTATTAAAAACATAAGACATTTAAATCTTCTAAAGAGGAGCCTGAGGCCATTATATTGATCATTTTGTCATTGCACATTCATGCTGACCAGTAAAACACAATCTGTTGCACAGATTAATTTAATCTGACTCTTTGCCAAGTTCAGAAGCTAATTGAGATGAGAAATGACAGATACGAGATATGAAATATTAAATGACAAACTATGTTCTACCTGCTGGAAACCATAAGGTGCCCATATGCTGTGAGGAGCAAAAAAAACAGCATGCTTTTTTGTACTTTTTTATTTCTTGCTTTTGCACACAGTGAGGGTCATGCATTCAACACAGTCACACAGCTGGCCTGTCAAACCCTGACAAACACACATACATGCTACAGCTGACAACCACCAATTATGAGCAATAAGTGACCAGCCACCCTACAGGCACAGGACTGAGTGCATGATAGAAAGAAAGATTATGTTTATTTACATAGGGACAGTACAACAATTTGTTTTTTAATAATTCTGAAATTATTTAAAAAAAAATAAAAATTATAATATGCATTATACATAGAGAGTATAGCATAAGATAATTTGCATCTCGGGTCCATAAAAAGGATTTTCTTAAAAAAAACAATGAAAAAAAACTACGTTAACAACCCTACACTGCTAATATAATATAGCCATATACACTAATACATAACTTAGAAAAAAAAAACCTTGCAACATGTAAATATAAAAAATACATTTTAACATACTGAATCTGGATCATTCATTATAATGTGTCTCACACACAAACTGACTACTATAGATTACCTCGAGTTTCTTTCCATCTTCATCATGTACAGACATGCTGACCTCCACGTTTTTAGGTGTTGTCTTACTTCCTTTATCAAAATCCCCCTGAACCAGCGTCACGTAAATGTCATTCCGAACATCACCTGCAAAAACATGCACAAGGTCTCAGCTTCGCTTATTAACAGGATCGATGTGTGATCTACAACTAAAAATAGACAGTTTGCAATACAGACCATAGATTTTTATTAGGAAAACACACAAAAATAGCTCAAGCAAGTGCTGCTTGCACATCCATAGGTCATAATCAGTATTTTAGAGTGTTGATTATACTTGGAATTAAATTATAGCTGCTGTACCTTTAATAGTTCTAAATGTAAACGTTGTGATTTGATCATTTCTGCATGTGAAATGAATATCAGCAACAGCCAAAACATGAGAAGGATATAACCATGAGGATGTTGATATGTAAATGTGGATAGTCATATTGGAATGTCCATCATGATGATTTGCAGCATAGTTTTCATGAATGGTCTGGTTGAACTATTCATTGTCACTGTTGTATGTTAACTAATTCAAAGAGGAGCAATAAAATCCTGTTTTTATTGTAAATACATTTCAGTTTGATGATGGATACCTGGCATGATGATTTCTGGGAAGCCCATCTTGCGAGCGACGGCGGTGGAACGGTCCACCAGGTGAGGGAAATCTTTCCGGATCTGATGAATATCACCTGGAAGCAACTTCAGTGTGACCCACAAACCTGAGGACCGGAGGAACAGACTGCAGTTAAACACACAGAGAGAGATAAACGCTGCCTATTTGTGCTTAACAGCTCACGGGAACGTAGCTCATTTTAATATCTCATTATTAGTGATCTACAAAAAATAATTAAGAGCACCGGATTAATTTAATTGCTGAGAAAATACCTGCAGGAAGCAGAGCGATGGTGTTATTTAAAGTTTAGGGATGAATTGTGCTGTGAATATTTTATACTAATACATTAAAGATTAAACTGAGCAATCTGAGCAAATAGCCTGAGCTTTTAAAAATCCATAGAAGAAAAAATATATATATTTTGTTTTATAATTTTTATATTATATATTAATTTTCTATTTTATCTCCAAGTTCTCATTATTGTAATGAAAAATAAATCCTATTTATTATTGAAAGTAGAACAAAAATACATTTTAAATAAACTTAAAAGTACACATCATGAAGGTATTTGTTGTGCTGAATTTAAGTTATACTTATTTTATGAGAAATTGTATTATTAATATTTGTAATACTAATATTTCCATTAAGTGTATATTATTCCACTTGTATAATAATAGGTATAATAACAATAATGTAAAATAAATAAAAGTTTATATCATAATAGTATTTGTTGTGCTGAATTTAAGTTATGCTTAGCATAAAAATAAATATTTTACATTAAGTGTACATCATGTTATTTGCATAATAATAATAACAACAACAATGACAAATAAGGACAATCAATCAAACAAACAAATAAACGAATAAATAATAAATATTAAGTATACATTATTATAGTGTTTATTGTATTAAAGTTGTACCGTTTTAAAATAAAATAAGAGAAATCTGAGGGTAATATGTGCTTAACTGCCATTAAAACAGACCAATGCTTGTTAATATTTGCTAATATTTAAAGGCTAATATCTGATCATCTAACTTTGCGCTCAGTGAATGTCTTTTACTTTTTAAGATCCTTTATACCCATAATGCTTTGCATGTCGCCTGAATGCCTCCATCCTAAATCGTAAGTTAATTGGTCTTAATGACTCCACCTCCATTACCCTCACTGCTGTTCCTGATTAACCTTGATCATAAATGAGAAGAACCTCGTCATATCTGACTGATCTTAGATTATCCTGGAAGTTTATGCTCCTTCATCTCAATGTACTGCTTGTGATAGCAGCTTTTCTAATGCTAGGAATCACAGGAAGGATGGATTATATCTGTGGCGTTGGATTGTGATGTGATCTGACAGCAGTGCATCCAGACATATTCGCTTCCCATTCTCCTCAGCACGAACCAATTCTCATGCTTGTTAAACCCAATTCAACTTCAACTAATTTTGCTCAATAACTCTGTCATTTGTAAGATTCAGGCCCCTTTAGATTGTGAAAGTCTCTTGGCAGGAACTCAGTTTGATCATATCTGGGACAGTGTCGCTCTCCATCTCCTCACATCAGTTTTATCTTCCTGTATTTTTTACTTTCCACACTTTAACTAGGCTACAAAACGAAGCTGCAGATCATTAACTCCAGCCAAATAACCATCTCAGCTTTATTTTGAATAATGAACATTTCTTTACCGTACATGTAGAATTTTTACTGTAGGTTAAGACACGTCATAAGAGAAACCCTCTGGGAATGTAGGGCCCTGGAAAATCGGTTTTATTTTATATTTCCCAAACTTTTTTCTGTTTTAATGTTTCTGAATTCAGTTTTAATTGTTAAAAAAAATAATCAAAAAACATGTCTAATTAATTGAAATCATGAAACATACAATACCTGCTGAATTTAAGTTATACTTATTTTATGAGAAATTGTATTATTAATATTTGTAATACTAATATTTCCATTAAGTGTATATTATTCCACTTGTATAATAATAGGTATAATAACAATAATGTAAAATAAATAAAAGTTTATATCATAATAGTATTTGTTGTGCTGAATTTAAGTTATGCTTAGCATAAAAATAAATATTTTACATTAAGTGTACATCATGTTATTTGCATAATAATAATAACAACAACAATGACAAATAAGGACAATCAATCAAACAAACAAATAAACGAATAAATAATAAATATTAAGTATACATTATTATAGTGTTTATTGTATTAATTTAAGTTGTACCGTTTTAAAATAAAATAAGAGAAATCTGAGGGTAATATGTGCTTAACTGCCATTAAAACAGACCAATGCTTGTTAATATTTGCTAATATTTAAAGGCTAATATCTGATCATCTAACTTTGCGCTCAGTGAATGTCTTTTACTTTTTAAGATCCTTTATACCCATAATGCTTTGCATGTCGCCTGAATGCCTCCATCCTAAATCGTAAGTTAATTGGTCTTAATGACTCCACCTCCATTACCCTCACTGCTGTTCCTGATTAACCTTGATCATAAATGAGAAGAACCTCGTCATATCTGACTGATCTTAGATTATCCTGGAAGTTTATGCTCCTTCATCTCAATGTACTGCTTGTGATAGCAGCTTTTCTAATGCTAGGAATCACAGGAAGGATGGATTATACCTGTGGCGTTGGATTGTGATGTGATCTGACAGCAGTGCATCCAGACATATTCGCTTCCCATTCTCCTCAGCACGAACCAATTCTCATGCTTGTTAAACCCAATTCAACTTCAACTAATTTTGCTCAATAACTCTGTCATTTGTAAGATTCAGGCCCCTTTAGATTGTGAAAGTCTCTTGGCAGGAACTCAGTTTGATCATATCTGGGACAGTGTCGCTCTCCATCTCCTCACATCAGTTTTATCTTCCTGTATTTTTTACTTTCCACACTTTAACTAGGCTACAAAACGAAGCTGCAGATCATTAACTCCAGCCAAATAACCATCTCAGCTTTATTTTGAATAATGAACATTTCTTTACCGTACATGTAGAATTTTTACTGTAGGTTAAGACACGTCATAAGAGAAACCCTCTGGGAATGTAGGGCCCTGGAAAATCGGTTTTATTTTATATTTCCCAAACTTTTTTCTGTTTTAATGTTTCTGAATTCAGTTTTAATTGTTAAAAAAAATAATCAAAAAACATGTCTAATTAATTGAAATCATGAAACATACAATACCACAACAATTTATTAAGTTACATTTTAGGGCCCTGTGAAATCAGCTTTATTTTTCACAAATTCTGTTTTATTTTTCACAAATTCTGTCTTCCTGTATTTTTTACTTTCCACACTTTAACTAGGCTACAAAACGAAGCTGCAGATCATTAACTCCAGCCAAATAACCATCTCAGCTTTATTTTGAATAAGGAACATTTCTTTACCGTACATGTAGAATTTTTACTGTAGGTTAAGACACGTCATAAGAGAAACCCTCTGGGAATGTAGGGCCCTGGAAAATCGGTTTTGTTTTATTTTATATTTCCCAAACTTTTTTCTGTTTTAATGTTTCTGAATTCAGTTTTAATTGTTAAAAAAAATAATCAAAAAACATGTCTAATTAATTGAAATCATGAAACATACAATACCACAACAATTTATTAAGTTACATTTTAGGGCCCTGTGAAATCAGCTTTATTTTTCACAAATTCTGTTTTATTTTTCACAAATTCTGTGTGGTATGTTTTAATGGTCTAATTAAATTTCTGATAGCGAGAAATGTCTAATAAATTGAATTCATTAAACTTTAACAATTTAATAATTTATTTTAATGATAGGGCCCTATGATTCTGTTTTAATGGTTAATTTAAAATTTAGTAATGAAAAGTTGTCTAATTTATTGAAATCATGAAACTTATAAAATTTTATAACAATCTGTTAAAAGTTAAACAGAAATAAGTTTGAGCCCTATGAAATCTTTTTTTTATTTTTTTTTTATTCCATTTTACTTTGTGTTTTCGGTTTTAATTTATTTGGATTACATTTTAATGGTTTAATTACATGTAAATAATTTAACAATTTAATAATTAATTAAAATGTGTACAGTAATATGAAATTCTGTGTTCGTTCAAATTTTTTCCAGATTTCCAGATTTATTATCCAAAATGGCTGCAATTATATGAAAGCATAAAATATTAACAATTAAACTGATCTTTAAAATGTAAGGAAATAAAAATTTAACAATTCATTTCATTTTTGACAAACAAAGTGCCGCACAAAAGAGGTTTACTGTGAAAATAAAAGCATGGAAAGAAAAATTATGCAATATTCCTTAAAAAATGTTTTAGTAATTGTATTGACCATGTGACCACTGTACCACCTCAGATTCATTTAGCTGCAATGTTTAGGTGTTGATAGCGTTGCCATAGAAATGCATAATTCCAAGCCCAAGGACGTGAACAGCTCCAATTAGAATGTCATGTCTCCAATTATTAATGTCATCATAATTATAACGCATCATAAGATACACGATAATAGGGTTTGTTTGGGTTGTTTTTTTTTTCTTTTCAAATTAAGTGTTGAAATGCTGCTTAAGTGACTCTCAGAGCAGCTCTGGAGATGAAAGGTGTTCACCCCTGTGACCTTTACCTTGACCTTTGTGATTGACCTCTTTGGCAGCGATGACCTTGTTGATGACGGTCTGGAGGAAGTCGTTCTCGCCCGCCACCCTGGGTGAAAAACGGGAGATGTTCAGCTGCCTGTGGCGAATGGCGTCATCCAACGCTAGCCTGGAGTTCACACGCGACAGGCAACACGCCAACGGGGAGGAGAGAGAGAGAGAAGGAAGAGAAAGAGAGAAGAGTAGTAGCCACAGAGAGCCAGATAAGGGTGGACATGAGCAGAAGAAGAGATGGATGAAGAAAGCAAGAGGGAGAGAGAGGGAAGACACCAAACAGTGATACAGATACCATGACAGGGACAAAAGCCATTTTGTTAGCAAACAGTAATGCGGGATGGGTGACAGAAGAGACAGAGAGAGATGCTGTAATTTCAGAAATCACCCTCCATCTCACCCAAACACAGATGAAGTCACTGCCTCTATAAAGACCCAAAACCTAGTGAGCTGCCTTAATAATAAAGATATAAAAAGGCACACTACAGATGAATGATACCTAATTACAATAGTAATTATAGTAAAGCTAAGCAATTATAGTACATAATTCATCCAAGATGATGAACAGGGTAAAATGTATTGATTATAAATAAAAATGTACTTATATTTGATTAATACAATTAAATAACAAATATTATATGAATATTGTATTATATGAAAATGTATTTACTCAATGTAAAAATGTAATTCAATTTACTTACAAATATTAATTTATTATAATTGTCTGGCCCATTTATTATTATTATTATTATTACTATTGCATAATATTATTATTAAAATATATTATATTCCATATGTAAATTGTTATATTATATATAATACCATATATATCAAAAAAATTATATTATTATTATTATATCAAATGTAAAAATTGTATATATATTTTAAATAATATATAACAACATACCATTTTTAACTTTCATAATCATTAATTATTTATTATTTAGACATTTAAATTTGTATATTATAATGTAAAAATATATTGTATTAGTTATATTGTATTATTATTTAAACATTTCTATATTATTGTTGATAATAACAAAATAATTCATTTTAACTTGAAATAATTCTTACTAATTAAAATATTTTATATTATTATATATGATGTACAAATTGTAATTCAATCTAATTTTTTTAAATAGCATATTTTAAATAATAATATATACTGTTTTATGTATTATTATTATTATTATTATTATTATTATTATTGACTTGCTATTTGTTGCTGCCTATAAGAAGCATTCAAATCAGTCACAAGGTTCGGTTTAAGTTAGGATGCTGCCTTAAAATGTAGCTGCCTATATAAGACAGTTCATTAGGTTTTGGACCAGAGCTAATCTAAAGTCACAAATAAGCTGCTACAAAGCAAAAACCTCCCTGAAGTGAAAACATGCATCTTAAACACCCCACAATTCCCAGCAAACCCCTGGACTCCTCTCTGAGTGACCCGGCTGGGCTGAGAGACCGGCAAAGCAGAGAAAGACTGAAGTATAGTCTTACTGAGTGACAGAATGAACGAGTGAGTGAGTGACTGTGAGGCACATATGAATATCCCCTACAGAATAAGAGTGAGTTTGTGTACTGTTGTCTTCAATGAATAAATACACAGATCATTGAACTGATACAGCACAAATCAGAAAAACAGACAACGCAAACAAACGTAACATTCATATGCATGACTACACGATACCTAACAAACTACCTTTTGATCTGCCTAACTAGCAAGTGTCTCATGCACTTGACTGGAGGTCAAAACTGTTTCACAATAAGTCATTTTCGTGATGTTATGTTATTACCATCATAAAGGCTGTTGTGTTGGCGTCATGAAGTCATACTTACGGCTGGAAGGGTATGAAGTGCTGCTTGTCCTCGTCGTCCATCTTGCCCGTGATGATGCCTGTGACGTCCATTACTGTAAAGAGAAGAATGAAACGAGAATAATGTCTGCACAATCAAACACACATTTCACCACTGTATTCTAACAGCTTTTGCCATTTACTTTACAGACTGTCTCAGCAAATTCACATTTTTGATGCATGATACCTTTTCATATACCTCAAACAACAGTAATTAATTCAATTATAAAAGAGGCCGTAATAAAAGTAATTATAGTATGTAATCTATTCTATTTGATATAATAGAACAAAATAATTAAATAACATTAAAGTAATTTTATATGAATATTGTATTATATGAATGTTATTCATTTATGTATAATATAACAATGTAAAAATTTAATTAAATTTACTTAAATATATGCTGATTAAAAATCACTGTGTCCAGATTTTAATCAAAATTGATCTTATTTAGCCAAATTCCCATTACTATAATGCAGAAAGTGATATATTACTTAAGTTATATTAAGCAAATATAAAATAAATAAATAAATGTGTATGTATATATATATATATATATATATATATATATATATATATATATATATAGAGAGAAAGAGATAGAGAGAGATAGATAGTGTGTGTGTGTCATGGTCAGAATTGTTGGTACCCTTGGTAAATATGATCAAAAAAGGCTGTCAAGAAAAATCTGCATTGTTAAAATCTGTTATGAAAATATAATCTCAAATCTTGATCTTTTTTAAAGGCTTTGCAAATAAAATATTTATTTAATTTAATTTATTATTATTATTATTTTATTTTGGGGCGTAATACGACATGAATGTGTCTTCACGAGATCCCATCTCGGGCTTCATCCCATCACTGTGAAAAAAATTTAATAAATAATAATAAAATAAGTAATATAAAATAAGCCATAGTAAAAGAGAAACACTCCTGGAAGTTTAAATTTGTGGTTTATAAGGTGAGAGCAGGCAAAACTTTCTAGATAAGCTGTCAAGCAGCAGCTATTACTGACTGAACACATAAACATCGCCTCTAAACGGCCATTTGGCCTGGTGTGCAGCAGTGGCCGTGCTGAGATTGGGTTTACAGCAGGAAACAGGAAACTGATGAGCTATAATGGAAGCGTTGGCTTGTCTCTGAATGTGACACATTAAAGGTGACATTGCACATACAGGTTCTGTCTCTACCTGCCTGACCCACATACAGACATACTGCTAGCGGCTGTACAGACAGAGAGAGAGAGAGAGAGAGAGAGAGAGAGAGAGAGAGAGAGAAAGAGAGATGCTTTCCCACTTCAAAACCTGTTTGATGCTCAAACCAAAGGCTGCATGTCCACTCTCATTCTCCTGTTCGGCCTTATTTATTTACAACAGAAGAACAGATTTTCCTTTTTCCATGAAACTAAAGGAGAAACCCTTTGTGCACAACAACAGACAACAAACTGCGAGCAACGTATTGCACAATAATCAACCTTAGCATCAGGAATTAGCAACAGTAACAGTTACAATAGACACAAATGTTAGGGTCACTTCACTCCAACCAGATCAAGGCTTCTGAAGTATACTGTGATTGTAGATGTAATAATATTTAACTCCAGGCAGACAAAATCAGTGCAAAGGCCATGTTTGTTTTGAAGGCAATAAAAATGCATGAACCCAGAGAGATTGTTGCACCACCTTCTGTATCGCATATAGCAAAGCTTATATGCAATATATTATTCCAGTTGATTTCACATAAGGCTTAAACAATTATACTTGAAGGTATATGCAATCACTCAAATAAATAGTACAAATAAAAACAGAGCTCAACACAGAACACCTGCTACTTGTAATTTAATACAAGAAAAAGACCCATACATTTTTCAGCCCAAAGTGTGGCAACTTATTAGCAAAGTATTAGCTGTCCCTGTCACTAAACTAAACTATACGAAACCTAAAATACAACATACTAAAAAAATTATAATATATCAACAAAAAAAAATAAACAAACAGAAAGTCTGAATTTAGTGAATGTTCAATTTAATTATATATAATAAATATGTGATTCTTATGGGTTTACAGTATTAATGAAATGAAATAAAATAATATAATAGAAATAAAATATAACAATTAAAAATAAAAATAACAAAATCTAAAATGATACTTAATGAACTTAAAAATTAAGTAAAATAAAAACAACAACAAAAACATCCAAAAAGTTAAATGTTATTATATATAATAAAAACATATAATTCGTATAGGTTTACAATTAACAAAGACAAAATAATAATTATAAAAGAATATAATAAAATAAAAATATAAACATAATAAAATAAAAATGCTAAAAAAAAAATTACTGAATATGTTAAATGTCAGAAATTCTGAATTTAGTGAATGTTAAATTCAATTTTATCTAATAAAAATATCTCATTCTTATAGTTTTACAGTAGAAACAATGGCTGTATTGGTTGGTGTTTCCGTAGATGAATGGGTCATTTATAATCACTTTGGATATAAGCATCCGCCAAATGTGTCCATGTAAATCTTCAACATACAAAATGGAAATGAAATAATATATATATATATATTTATTTTCTTAAATGTGTATATATATAGTATTTATAGAGTTTTAGCTTTTAGTTTTCTTATTTGTACTTTTTCTTATTTGTAAGTCGCTTTGGATAAAAGCGTCTGCTAAATGACAAAGTAAAAAGTAAAGTAAATTCCTGGTGGTATTATCCATGCTAAGTGTGCATCACGTGTTATGTGTGAGGCTCTACCTGCCACACCGAAGGGTCTGCGGAGGCCGGACGTTAGTTTCTTAGTGTTGTTATCTCTGAGCTCCATCCGGCCCACTCGAACGATCTGACAAACAAAACTGATTTTCTCCCTCTTCAGGTCTTCGCTCCCCAGATCCTGGAGAGAAACACACAAACACACAAGCAAGAGTGTAAAAAGCATGCACAATCATGAACTCAAACAGCACATATTATTTTGAGCCCCCAAGCGCTATTGGCCATGCACCAGGTGTTTCTGCCTACAACTATCAAGATAAAGTCAAACGCGTTAGTTGAGCAACTATCCAGAAGGGCAACGACTGATGCATGGATTGGATCGTTGTACACAGACTGTTAGTACGCTGTCTGAGTGAAGGGTAAATTGCTCGAGCAGCTTTTGATTGGGGGCAGCAACTCATTCCCCGCTGGGGGTTTGTGCAAAGAGCAGAGGATTCTGGGAAAATAAACTGACCCTGACCAGCCCAGCATCTATTAAAGAAATGACCTCTAGCAAATGAGAATGTGTGGGTGCAAACAAGCACCAACACATGAACAAACCAGTGCATATGCTCTAGAATTATAAATTATGCACATGCAAATACACAAAATGCATGCAATTAAAAACAAACAAATATGCTAACAGTGTGTGAGCAACACAATACGATTCACATTCATTATATGTTTTTCACAGCACAGATAATTGTTTTTTCTGTGTTAAATTACCTGTAGACGCCAACGCACGTACATGGATGCACACAATACATGCAACAATGCAAACCAGGCGGCGTCTCCGTTGAGCTTCCTCCTCTAACAACCATTAGCTCGTTATCCTTTACAGCTTTAATGATACTGCTGCTTTCTCAAACACTTTAATTACCAATTCTGCAACACGACTGATGAACACAAATTAAAGTGTCACCCAATAATACCATGATTACTCATTAAGGAACAAAGCAAGAGACGGGAACAGATGAACGGAATCAAGTCGTAAATGAGTCATTTACATGACGGTGTTTCTAGGAACGAGCTGGTACTGAAGCATTGGAGGAAATATTTGAGTGTTCAAATCAAACAATTAGGTCGTGCATGTAAATGGTTTCGTGTGGTCTAGCGGTTTGTACAGGTGGCACAAATTAGCACAGTTAGAAACCTAGTTAGCTGACCACCTAGATACCATTTTAAAACATCTCATTATCAGGCTCCCACATTTTCAGCCAACTTTTAATACAGCATTGCATGCATTTTTAGCACAGAATAGGATTGCTTTCGTTAACTAAAACTATTAAAAACATTATTGTTCATTAAAATAAAGCTGAAATAAAATAATATAAATATTAGATGAAAAACTGAAAGGGATTTAAATGAAAATTTTAAATGTTGCCTTTGAAACTAACTGAAATACTTAAGTTAAAGCACTAAAATAACTAACTAGAAAAATAACAACTAAAACTAATAAAATAAAATTACATTTAAAAAAATCTGGGGTGGTGGGTGGTGGGGGTGAATTAAAAAATATAACGTTATATAAATAAAACTATAATAACACTGGAAGAGAAAAGTACAGATACAAATAGTTTTAACTAACTACTTAACCCAATATCTGCATGTTACATTTACTGGATTTGTCCAGCTAGAACTACAAGCATCAAGCAAGTTAGCATTAGTCCCATCTCATATGTGATTCTGCTCATATTATGTGATGCACACCTTATTGGTATTAATACATATAAAGTGTTTTAAATCAATCATTTATGTAGTTGCATTTGAGTTCCAGATTAAAAAGTAGCTATCAATGAGTCGTGGTGCTCATGTGGGTGATGCAGGTCTGCATCATGTCCCAATATAATTTCTCCATCTCTCTATGATAATCCTGAATAAAAAGTGTCAAAAGTAAAGCCCAAAATAATACATACAGTGAATACGGCACGCAGGTTATGGAGCTGATCGATGTCTTTAGCCAAACCTGAACTGGACCAGCGCACAAGATAGTTTTCACTGCAAGAATGTAAAAACAACAGATATTAAATGCCATTATTTTTACAGTACAGCAGCAATGTCAAGAACATAGGACTGATTCCCAATGAACACATATACCAATAAACGTAATAACATACTAGAGTATAACAACAATATAATTTACTGCTGAAACGAATCACTGAGAACTGTGTGCATGGCACAAACACTGCGGTTGATTTACTACTGAGGATGTGAAACATCATGGTTACTGGTCACTGAGGCTCTCAAATGAGGGTCAAAGTATTGTCAAATTATTTAAATAATATTACAAATATTTTAAAAAAATTCTAATAATATAAAAATTTATAATAACATTTAGATACAAAAACAATCTAAATATATATACAAAAATAATAATAAATAAAAAAATCTTAATCTCTGAAAAAAAAGTTCTATTTGACAGCAGCAATGTTTAGGATGTGAATACACATCTATAAGTTTGAGTTTGTGTGTGCACTGACCTGATAAACTTGGACTCAATCGGATCGTATAGCGACATCAGCACTTCTGCATCTTCTCCGATTTTGCACACGACATTCTTGAGTGTGACGAACAGGGCGAACGAGGGTGTGGAGGCAAACTTGGCCTGCCGGCTCAAATCCATGTTCTGCTTCTGAGACTGAAAAAATAAATGCATAAAAAATGATGGCATCTGAGCACAGTTAGTCTTTCAAACTTGAGTCTTAAATTCAGCTGACAGCTGATCAGACTGTCGGACTCAAAGAATTTATATCCCATATAAAATCTGTATCTGCTGAAAGAGACCCAAGGACAGTGAACCTCTGGGTAGGGCCAGCTGGGAAAGGCAGGAAAGCAGTGCTGCTGTATTTTCATCTTGTCATACTGGTTTCCAACAAGATAGACTGATAGTAAATGTTTTGACCTTTTGTAATTGTTATGTAGGAGTCCCTCAATTGTACTCGGAATGAAAAGATGGATCTCAAAATCATACAGTCACTGTTGGAAAGTGGTCAAATATGTACAAGATGCTGGAAAACCAAAGAGTGTGCCGGGGCTGGAGGATTTTTCTGAAGAACAGCAGGCAGTTGAACTGTTCAGGACAAACAAGGGACTCATGAACAACTATCACAAAACATAAAAACAGTCGTGGATCATCCAGGAAATGTCACACAGTATTAAGATTCAAGATTGTCAAATTTTGAACGGGGTCGTTTTTACAAATTCAGTTATTATTTTGTCTTGTGGAGTATATATAAACATCTGTTATGTGAAATAGCTTATTCAAGTTATTTTATTACTAAATAAAAAATAACATGCAATTTTCATGATCCCTCTTATTTTGTTAAAATTATGAACATTTTGCATATTCGGCAGGGGGTATGTAAACTTGTGCACAACTGTATTTGCAATGTTTTTCTGACGATATAAAACTAAGAAACGTCGTGAATATTTTGTTGATTTTATTGAGCATTTCAGATGGCCATTAGGTTTGCCTAAAGACAGTAATAATAAAAAAAATAATAATATAAAAATAACTGAAATACTAAAACAAAATAGAATAAATTAATATAGAGGGGAACTGAATTCACCGGAACACCGGCATTGTAGGCTACTCTCCCAGGAAACAGTCCTTATCCTCCATAAAATGCGCTGCACACATCTGAATATTTGGGTTGAAGTGTTCTGGAACAGTGTTGTAAATACAACTTAACCACTGATTTCTAGTTGTGTCCTCTTTTGGAAGACCAAACAAAGTAGTTTCGCTTTCACAACGAAACACACAGCGTCTCCAGACATGACGGCGGCGGCAACAATACTACAGCAAGAATAAAAGTTTTTCTTTGCGTATACATTTGGGCAGTGTTATGCAAATCTTCCCACACAGTGACGTAGACATGTGGGGGCGTGTTTAAACGAGGCGTTTTAGGAGGGCGTGGACGAGTCTTAACTTTTATAAAGAATATCTCTTTGGGTTTGAGACTTTAGTCTTTGCAACTTTAGGGATCTTATCTATTCACAATCAGCTTGTAACACTCCAAAGAGAAAGGAAAACTTGAAATCGCATCATATGACCCCTTTAAGCTATATCACCCAGCCATGTGTCACACTGAGTCCCACAGTTAAGATAAAGGGTTTCACAAACAAGAAGTGAGATGGTGCGCTCTCTCTGTTCCTGTGTAACCTCTCATACATTAGCGATAGTGTTTCAGAGCTGCGGTCAGGGACTTTTCATGTGGTGTAGTGGTTGTGCTTGACAAAGTAGTCACATCCAAATATAAATATGAAGTAACAGTTAACATTAAAGGTGTTTATTAAACATCACAGCAAGTGGTGATGAGAAAATGTGAGTGTGCCGTCGGCTCTCAGGCCTCACACATTCACAATCCAATAACACCAACAAACCCATTCAAATATCTCAATCCAAATGAATTACAACACATCAGAAAAAAAGCAGCATGTTGAAATTAGTGCCATAATGGATAAAAACAGTCTAATATCGTTTACCTTCTCCTCTTGGATGCGAGCTTCAATCTGCTTGGATGCGGTTTCATGTGCTCGGAACAGATTGACAGTGCTGGTCAGGTCAGGATCCAGAATATTCCCGTCTTTATCTCTCACCACCAGATCCAGATCTAAATACCTGCCAAACACACAAAAACAGTGTAGAAAAAACAGTTGTTTGAAAGAGATGAAGATTTGTGTCCTACTAATCCAAATGGATACATTTACTTGGACATTACCTACTAAATGAATGTGAAAATGAGCATAAGATAAAAAATATAAAACAGATTAAATTGATTTTCAAGAAATATCAGCAGGTGTTATCAATGGTTTCAAGTATGTTGCTATGTGGTTACTAAGGGCATTCTGGATTTGTATCGAGAAAAAAAACAAAAAACTTTCACTTAATAAAGTTGACAAAGACAGAGACTTGAACTGAGAACTGAGAGTTGTACTCGTGTGTGTCACTAGTGACTTTCTCTATCATCCTACGGTATGCTCACTTCCTCCTGCTAAAGTTAACAGGAACACCAAAACGCTCTGAGAGAGGTAATAAACTTGCTGCTAATAGACGGCTTTGAATGTGTTCAATGAGCAGAAAAACGTCTGTAAGCGTGCAACTAGAATAACTAAATGGAACAGTAATACACTCGAATTGGTTTCCCTGTCTTCCTTTGATCAGCTGAACAATTAGCCCCGCCCCAAACTCACACCATTGGTTGAAACGATGCAACTCTACAATTGTGGTTGGGTTCCAGAAATAAAATGTCAATATACATATGCACACATACATATATATACACATATATATCGCCTAGGCGATAAAACGGTATCGATATTTATCGACGGTACACCTTCATCGATAACGATATAAAAAAAATTCGATATAGCGCACGATATAGGCACGTGCTCTGAGTGACGCAGACAGCTCACACAAACACATGCTGAATTGAGTGCTGTGCCTGCCTGTGATGAGGAGATTGTGAAAGAAAAAAAAAAAGATTATTAGACGAATTTAAAATAAACATTTGCATTTGAATGCAAAAATGGTACAATCGAATGTTAGGAGTGCGTCAGGGAGCGTCATCAGTGGTGAGCGAGATGCGGTTATGATGATAATAAGTGACGTTGCATTTTAATGTTTTGTTAGTCTAGCCGCTGCTGTGCTATTCGTTCAAAATATTAGAGAAATATAGTAGCTCAATGCGTAAATGATCTTGATTAGGTTAAAACCAAAACCTAAACCAAGCCATTCACACAGAACGCATATTCAGGACAAATATGACTGCTGCACTCGCGTCTCATGCAAGAGATGCAAAGAAAGTCATGCAAAGTTAAAACAGTTTTAACATTCAGAAAACGCGACGCCAATTTGTGAAGGTTTATTTCATTTCACTGCGTCTCGTATGTTTTTAAATGCAATCTGTGTGATTGGCGATTTGGCTCTTTTTATTTGGCTAAGCAATGCATAAACACATGATGCTGTTTTGTTCATAATTGTTTATGCAGTTTACAAAAATATATTTGATTTATATATGTTAATTTAGACGTTATGCACGTTTTTATAGACAGTTATTTGAATTGACAATTAATGCGCTGCATTATTTTGCTCATTGCGCCCTCTTGTGGCCTCGGGAAACAAGTCAAAAGTTTCCTTAGGACTTATTTAATCTGCATATAAAACATAAGAAAGGAGATATTTAAATTTTATTTTGTGTTTGACTGTGTAACCTCTAAAAAAAAAAACATATATATATATATACACACACACACACACACACACAACTATTCTGATGTTGTTAAATGATGGTATATGCTTTTGTTGAAGCGTCATTCACATTATTTCAAAATAAATAAAATTTAACAACTGAATTTTGTGAAAAATGACATTACCCATGCCCACTGTGTGCGCTATCATGAATATGCTGTACATTAAATCCCACCAATCAGAGAGATGCAGCAAGCAAATCAGGTAAAGACAAAATATTTAAATATTTGTACATTTATGCATATTTAGCAATAAACTTAAAAATATGTTTCTATAGATACAAGATATAATTCTATTGATATAATTATTTTTCTCCATTTTTAATTCAATTACTTTATTTGTAATGCTTCATGGGATTGTAGTTCTTTCCCTCACTTAAGCTTAAGCACATAATCTTGTACCTTTGTCTTTTTGGCTGATTTTAAAATACTTTTTGCTTCAAATAAAACACTGTAATGTTGTGAATGACCTTGTAGTTGGTTGGTTTGGTTCATGGCTTATAACACTTTAACAAAGACTTTTTTGCTGAACGAAGACTGTTTGCCTGAGACTCTGGATTACAGGTAATAATAATGTTCAGTTTATTTCACAGACCGATTGTTGCGCTTCATAAGACCTCAACATATCATCAGGAGCCATGGGTATTCATTTTATGTTGCTTGATATGTATTTTTTGACTCTCAAAGTGCTGGACGCCACTGACTTGCATTTTATGAATCACCAAGCACCACAGTTTCAGCTAAAAATCTTCTTTACGGTTCTACTGAAGAAAAAAAGTCACCTACATCTTGGATGGCCTGAGGGTAAATTAACAGCAAATTGTCATTTTTGGGTGAACTATCCATTTAAATTAGGTTTGTTTTTTGTGAGTTTCCTGAAGATTTTCTGAAAATGCCTGCAGTGCACATGCAACATCACACCACCAGGTGTTGTGGATGGCAGTGTCATAGCAAAAACAGACCCTGAATAAAAATGAAGAGCAATAAAACGCTCTCATTAAAAGTCAGGTTCTATGAAACGGACTGCAGTCGTGACTTTCAGCTCACGACCCGATCAGTACGAGTCAGCAGCTTGTGTGTGTATGTGTTCATACTTGTTCCCGTAGTCCATCTTAGAAGTGACTTTCTGTTTGAGCTCGGACAGCTCGTCCTGCGGGAGCGTGCCGGACAGGATCTGGGAGCGCCATTCGATCAAGTCGTAGATCATGTCTTGGACCGTGTTGAACATCTCACGCTTGTCGCCCTGTTGGAAACAAAAAGTCTGATTAAAACCCTGCAAAGCATGTTAATTAATTTGTCAAAGCACATGCTGCTGCATAAAGGCGGCTGCTCTTAATCACTGTAGACAAAGAGCCCCAGAGGGTCATATTGCTTGTTTATGCAATTAAAAGAGTTTATAAACTTTCAGTGAGACACTTTTCAAAAAACAAACTTTTCTTTTTAATTATTTGAATATCATGTAAGAGCTTTTCAACATCTCACCCCCAGGCAGAAAGTATGGGGGTAGAATTGTTGCATTATTCCAAATAAATAGATTATGATCCACAAATAAATGTAAAGAGATTTACAAAAAATTTAACATATTGACAAATAAATAGAATGAGATCAACAAATAAATCTCAGGGTTTCACAAACATTAAATTCAGAAATAAATAAAATGAGATTTGCAAATAAAAAACATTCACAAATAACACTAACACAAACTTTTGTGTTTGTGAATCGCATCCTGTACATTTGTGGATCGCTCACTGTGCATTTGTGGATTTTAAAACCTTTCTAGCATCAAGACGCTGACAATCTACAAATGCGTGGACTCCACCCACCGTCTACTCAAGCCAATCAGATAACAGCCACACTTCTCTGACCAATCGTAGCATGTTCTCGCTATAACCAAATCACGTTTTACTTTACAATCAGGGCGGTCTCTTCCTGAAATAACTTCATTCATAATATGCATTGGCTCAAATAGGAAATATAAGGGCCATAAAAATTGATACAGCTAAAGATGTTTAAAATTGTATTTCGTTAAATCATTAGACTGTGTATCAAGCTAAGCCACAGTATATTTTACATGCCTTTGAAAATGCCAGAGAAACAGCGCTTTAAATCACGGCTATGGGAACAATGCTGTACTGGATACAAATGCGTTATGGAAGCGAAGCGTCATTCAAGATGGAAAGAAAAGTGTCAATAAGTAACTGACTAATAAATTACTGCATTCAACCTCATGATAAACATGCAAGTTTGTGTAATAGGTTACAATGCCATCACACAACAGTCAACATAACAGCGTTTGGATAAGATGGATATGGATATTTATTTTGTGAATATTTGTTTTTTGTTAATCGCTTTACATTTATTTGTGGATCATAATCTATTTATTTTGAATAATGCAACAATTCTACCCCCATAAGAAAAGATCAGATTTATTCAAGAAAATTGCAACGTGTCACAGCAGATGAGTGTTTGCACTCTGTGATGTCACTGCGATCTGTTGTCATCAAAAACACTGACTATGTTGTTAAGCTGATGATGTCAGTGATGACTGGGTGCGCTGTCATGAATATGCATATTTCCCTAATATATAGTATGCAAAAAGCAGTGTCAATTGAGTGGGATGTGCAAATTTGCTGTATTCATAAAAAGATGCCAAAAAAATAAAAACCTGGATGACCTACTACTTATTCCAAGATTTTGAATGTGCATCCAATGTACATGACTTTCTTCTTTCAGACGAATACAGCCGGAGTTATATTCAAAAATGTCCCGGCTCTTCCAAGCTTTATAATGGCAGAGAACGGGGGACGAGATTTTGAAGCCCAAAAAAATGCATCATAAAGCATACTCCACTCGGCTCCGGGGGGTTAACAAAGGCCTTCTGAAGCGAAGTGATGCGTTTGTGTAAGAAAAATATCCATATTTAAAACTTTATCAACCGTAATCTCTAGCTTCCAGCGGATGATGTAGGACGCAAGCATGGTGTAAGCGCCGGTGAGAAGTGATGAACATGGAAGCGCAGAGGAGAGAGCAAAACAAAGCACCGGTCACAAATTGGTAGTACAAAACGAGGACTTGTAAAGAAAAATGTCGGAGAATTTCGATATAAGCCAATGTTTTCCTTTGCTGTAAACAAAACTTGGTTCTCGTGAGGCCAGCATATTCTCAGCTGGAACGGCACTCTCGACTCGCCATTCACTGCTATAATAAAGTTTGGAAGCACCAGGTCATTTTTAATATAACTCTGCTTGTATTCATCTGAAAGAAGAAAGTCATGTACACCTAGGATGGCTTGAGGGTGAGTGAATCATGGGGCAGTTTTCATTTTTGGGTGAACTATCCCTTTAACTCCATGTCAGCATGTCAGGATATTTTCACGGTGAAAAAACAGATTGATGCTCAATGTTTCATTGATTTATCATTTGTGTTCAAGGAATAAATATTAAAGTAAACATCCAAAAAAATCAGACAATTTACATTAAATAAAAATGCAAATAAAATGAGAGTATAAAATGAGATAAAATAAATTTTAGATTTTGCCAGGCGATTGGCAGAGTCTTGTCTTGGTTAAAATGACAGAAAACCTTGTATAAGATGTTTAACGTCTAATTTTTCTCCAAATAAAAAAAAGATATATATTTTTTGGTGTGGATATACTTTAACAAATCACAAAATTAATTATATATTAAATACTGAAGGTTAAATATATGCTGCTAAGTTGATGTCATCATGCTGACTGTGTTAGTCTGATGATGTCATAATTCTGACATCTGCCGCGTCCTAATTTGTCCACTTATGACATGCTTTATAACCATGTACTCTTTGGAGCAATACCACATGCTTTTAAGTGTGCAGAGGAAGAGTGTGCAACTTTTGGGAAATAATACATAGATTTGGAATAGACGCAAGCTTACCACATATAGGTCCCTCCATATTGCCGCCCATTCTCGCAATGTAGTCGTGACCTCATGAATGAGCGGAATCTCAGTAGGAATGACCGTCTCCTTTTGTCTAAATGAACAGTGATAGAGTGCAAAACAGAAACAGCACAAAAAGTGAAGGAGTTTTCCAAGAATATCGCATGTGTGGGAAAAAACAGGCTGATTAACTGAATCTCACTGCATTCACGTCAGTAATTCCTGCTTACTACAGGCTCCTGAGGACGCCGAGTCATTCAGATCCCTTCATGCCAATGAAAACTAATTACCAGCATCAGTCATCAAAAGAGCTGTTAAGAAATCTGAGCTGGGCTTTGCTCACGATTCCAATTACTCTCACATACTCATACCAAACTCGTGCGTATTATATTCCTGAACCACGCTTGAAAATCCATTTCGAACTCCAAAATCTCCCACTAGGCTAGCAATGGGCTGCTGGGGCGCTAACTTAGTAAGACGTCTATGGGAAGAATATTGTTAACTGCGCTCAGGCTGGTTTCAGGGAGCAACACTGATATAATCAGACCAATAACAAAAGTAACAGGATCTTCAGATGCAGCAAAGGAGCGTAAAGTTAAATTGGATGTTCCAAAACATAGTAAGCTACATACATAGGGAACTGCCTTGAAAAACAGCATCCTAACCATAGTAGAGACTCACAAGGTCAGATAAGAAAATATCTGTGTTTAAAGGTCTTAAAATGGTGAGAGGTGACAGAAAATGGTGAGAGGTGACAGAAATGGAGGGGGAACGGGGAGTTTATGGGTCTTTACATGAATAGGACACTAAATAGAGTGTGAAACTCTTAAAAAATAATGAAATATATTAGAGAAGGTTTTTTTTTCTTAGCAAATGAGCACTTAAGAGATAGAGATTGCACTTAACCTTAAACTTAATAAATATTAAATATGCAAAAAATGGCAAACCTCATATAAAATGAATTTCATAACATTTTAAAACCATGGTTTGCATTAATTTGTATTTTTAGCAACATTAAACAAACAAACAAAAATAGACAAAATTCTAAACAAAAATTTAAAAAAGTAGTAAAATAATATTAAAAATAACAATATAAAAAAATTTTAAAAAATTATATAAGAGATCGATAGATATTTTTTTCTTAACAAATGATCACTGAGAAATGTTATGTAACCTTCAGAAAATGTTGTGGATAAATTAAATATTACATAAATATGAATTTCATATGAGGTTTGTAATTTTCCCATTATATTATTTAATATTTATTATTAATAAATATTTGCATGAATTTATAATTTTTTTAGCAATGATAAAAAATAGACAAAAAATATAAACAAAACAAATAATACAAAATAAAACAAAAAATAAAAAACAAAAAATATAAAAAATTAAATAAAAAAATTAAATACAATTCTCAAATACACTTCACTTTGCACATGGGAGACATGACTCACAACTGTTAAGCTACTAAGCTAATGTCACAATACTCTAAATCTGCACTGCTCTGCACTGGTAATTAATCCATTTTTAATTGGACAAACTAACTAAACTACATCTAGTACTTTTGTGTAGAGAATGAAACATAAGCAGATTTATAGTCAACTTTTCTCCCGTTGAGTTCGTCACAACAAATCCTGGGATTGCTTTCCCCATGAAGAATTTGCAATCTGGCCGAAATTAGGTTTGTCTGGAAAGAGAGCTAATATCTGCTAAGATGTTGCTAATTCTTTATTTCACATTCAACTAACTGCAAACTTTCAGGAATCTAAATGAACATACTGACCCATTGCCTTCAACCGTGGCCTCCTTCAGATTTATGTAACAAGCCGGAAACACGCCCTGTACATAGAGGAAACAAAGGAAAATTCAAGTTGAGGCCTGCTGAATGAGTGTATTGAAGAAAGCTGACTGTACTCTGGAAGCGTTTCATACAGTAACTCACCTTCTTCGATTTTCTCCTCAGCCGATACCCTCGATACCATCCTGAGAAGAGCAAGAAATATCACAGCAGTCAGACGGAAATGCCAACAATTATATTACAGAGAGACGCCATTGTGTCCTATAGCACATCTAGAAAACAATATTCTGAGATTATAAAAGACATGTTTCATAAATCTCCTGGAGAAATAAAGTGAGGTGGCGGGCATGTCCACATGGTACAAACAAATCATTCAACACTGAAGTGTGTGTTATTGAGATCGGAGAGAGGAAAACTCTGATGATGACATCTGTGTCCTAAAAAGTTTAATTTAATTAAATGTAAAAATAAATTACATTTAAAATAAAAACAGATAATAACATAAAATAAATTATTTGGCTTTGTAGTTATTGATATTTTTTCCCATAATTGAATTAAATCCTTATTGATCAATCCATTTTTTCTTAAAATAGCTTTGATGAAGGCTTAAATGGTTGAGCTTGAATAATTTTCTTTTCATATTAATGCTTTGCTATGTCATATCTAGTTACAACATAAAGAATCTGTGTGTGTGTGTGTGTGTGTACCTACTTAACCATATTTTGGGGACAAATTTGTACTCAAAAGTGAGCAAAACATGACAAAATCGCCAAAAACCTCCATTTGGGGACGTCCGCATTTGTAAAACTGGTATAAAAATAAACAGTTTTTTAAAATTGTTACAATGCAGAAACTGTGAGGGGTAGGGTTAGAGGTGGGTTTGGGTTAAAAATTGTATAACTATCTTTATATAAAAACAATAGAAGTCTATGTAATGTCCCCGTTTAGATAGCCAAGTAAACGTGTGTGTGTGTGTGTGTGTGTGTGTGTGTGTGTCTCTCTCTGTGTGTGTGTGTGTCTCTCTCTGTGTTTCAATAAAAACAATAGAAGTCTATGTAATGTCCCCGTTTAGATAGCCAAGTAAACGTGTGTGTGTGTGTGTGTGTGTGTGTGTGTGTCTCTCTCTGTGTTTCACCTTCGTAAGTCTCCAGAATGTGTACAGTGTCTCCGATCTGTAAGGACAGCTCTTCATCACTGCGAGCATCATAGTTATAGATTGCTGCGGACAGAGAACATAAAACACTGTAGTGAGACACATGGCATCAATTTCTGCTTGGTGTGTGAGAGAGAGAGAGAGAGAGAGAGAGTTATAGATGCTGCAGCAATGCAATAACTAACCACACAACAAACAACAGCAGCTCAGCAACAAACAGCGGCTCCAATTTGACACATACAAGCACCCAAAATATCATGACTGAATGCAAAGTGTTTGAATGTTTTTAAATCGACATTTTCAGTGAATAGCCACTTTAATTACTTTAATGGTGCTTGAATGTATTTTTCTGGCTTGGCAGTAAAAATCACCATCCATATTCATCTTAACACTCATTGCTGCCCTACAAACACTGGTATTTCCTTCAGGAAGTGTGTGATGCCTTTAGTAAACAGATGGATGTTCTAGGAGTTGAGTTATACCGGCATGTTCATCTTCCCGTGCCGCTGCCGATGACGTTCCACACAGTGTTTCTCAGCGACCCTGAATGACCCACATGACCCAGTGACAGAGAGACAGTAGAGGACAAGAAGGGAGCGAGACCTGTGAGGGTTAATTACTGTCTCTATTTCGGTCTCGGTCGGACTCTCACCTTCATTCTCACACATGCTGTTTCTCTCTGCTATCAGCAGAGAGAGAGTAATTACACAACATTCTCACCGTGGGCCTTTTGAAACCATACACACACACACACACACACACAGAGAGAAACACAAAGCAGTAATTTCTCTCTGTAATCTCTCTCTCTTTCCCTGAATCTGAATTTAACACCTCTGCAGCACTACATGACAAAAACATTTCAATGCACGTCCTTTTAGATGGCGAGTCTGAGAAACACTCTGTGTACCTGCAATTACACGCATGCAAACCAACAATCATAAGTTATTTTAAAAAAGCACCAGATAAACACAAGCAAACAACTGCCACATGACATTTGTGTGACAACTGTTTAAAAGAGCTCCTACACTAAGAACACTACTACTACAGTATTTATTCATGTTGAATTAGCCTTTATTTTTGTGATTTACATTTCTTTAAAAAAAATTTTTTAAGTTTTAGTCATTTATTTTTGTGATTATAAGTTTTTATATATTTTTAGTTTTGGTTTATAATTTTATAGTCTATTTAGCATTAATTTACTTTTAAGTTTTAGTCATTTTAGTACTCATTTATTATTATTATTTCTAATTATATTTCTAATTGTTATTTTTCTAAATATTAGTTCTAATATTTCTAATTTCCATTATACTACTATCGTTCATAAGTTGTTTTTGTTTTTTTAAGAAATTAATGTTTTACACCGCAAAGCATATCTTTTTAAAATAAATTGTATTCAAATGAATTCTATTTCATATAAAGTTGTTCTTTTGTGTATAAAAATAGCAGCACAACTGTTTTAAACATTGATAATAATCAGAAATGTTTCTTGAGCAGCAAATCAGCATATTGGAATGATTTCTGAAGATCATGTGACACTGAAGACTGGAGTAATGATGCTGAAAAAAAAGATTTGAACACAGGAATTGTAAAGTGTCACAATATAAAAACAAAAATCTGTTATTTTAAACTGTAATACTATTTCACAATATTACTGCCTTGGTGAGCCGAAGAGGCTTCTTTTTTAAAAACATTTACAAATCTTGCAGACCCAAACTTTTGAACAGTAGTGTGTATAAAACACACTCAACAATAATCACCATTGTGCCACAAATAATGCATGTATGATAATGCATGTATGAACGCACATATTTCTCTGTCTAACAGAGCTTTAATTACTGTATACACATCAAACATTTCTACAGACTATATACATAAAGCGACATCTCAACAAAGTCAGGCAAACTTAAAAAAGCCATGAGCCAGCACAGCTTCCGCTCATCTGCACATGCTCCAGACAACCAGATCCGCACATCAAATCCTATATGCTGGCGTTCTGATAGTCCCACAAGAAGCCAATCCAATTCCACAACAAACAATACATGGAGAGAGAGACACTGCCACAACAGGAGAGAGCAGAGTAATGCCTAGAGAAAGAGGAAAAGGAAATGGTTGAGAATATGTTCCTAATGCGCATACGAGTCACAAAGCGGCACACATCCAGCTCTTATCTTAGTAGGAAGAACACTGTACCAGATGACATCGTTCTGAGCTTTCTCTCACACACACTCGAGGAAATGCACAATTAAAGACACAAATGATCATATGAGCTCAGCTCAGACTGCTGTGATTGGAATTTCAAAGCCTGGTTAACAGGTGGCTAAACACACCACAATAATGCCCAACCGCTACAGGTTATTAATTATATAAGAGAACTTTAGAACGTGAAATAGAGAAACTGAGGAAAAAAAAGTGAGCCACCTCAGTGTCTGTCTATATAGGCAGCAAACTTCTCAGGCAGAATCTTTATTCTACAGAGATAGAAACCAATCAATCAATCAATAAAATTAAATGAAAAATATTTACAATGATATACAATGATATTTATCTTATTTGTAAAGTAAAAAGTTAACATCCTGATGCTACAAATGAAAACCAAGTGAGCAAAATAAAACAAAAATAAATAAATATAAATAAATAAATATTAAATTCAAATATTATCAATAAAATAATAATCCTGACACTATTGGGAAGTGAGTAAATAAAAATAAAACTATAAATAAACAAACATAAATAAAATAAAATAAGATTAATAAAGTTCATATTTAAAAAAATATATATTATTTATAGTATAAAATGAATATTGCCATCCTGATGCTATGCTACTGAGATAAACAAGCAAGCAAATAAAATAAAAATTAAAAAAAATAAAAATAGCATTGTTATACTATTAAGATAACCAATATATCAAATAAAAACGATAAATAAAATACATAAATAAAAATCCTTGCATCCTGAACCTATTGTGATAACCATGTGGACAAATAAAATAATATAAAATACAAATTTTAATCAAATTAAATATATGAAAAAAATTATAATAAAATAAAATGAATATTACCATCCTGATGCTACTCGGATAACCATGTGAGCAAATCAAATTAAAATTAATTTTAATATTTAAAAAAATATATCTAAAATAAAATGGATATCATCTTGATGCCACTGAGATTGAGCAAGAAATAAAAATAAAAAAAAATATTCCTGGCTTTGTTCAGACAACCTAGTGATGAAATGAAATGAAATGTGATGCTGCCTAAAACAAGGTATAAGGCAGAATAATTTCACTGTCAATTGTTTGCAACAGCTTTCATGTGCATATGATGCATAAAAACATTCTTCAGTTGTGCAGCTCACTAGGTTTTGGATCAGAGCTGAATGAAGAAGACTAAACAGAGAGAGGAAGAGAGGAAGGGAGACACACAAAGAGGATCAGTGCAGCATGAGACAGCCCGTGTGTGAGAGAGACTTTGACAGGAAGTTCAGGCCCCTAGAGGTGCCCGTGTCCCCCGAGAGAGAAAGCAGACGCTTCAGTCGCCTCTCTTCCAGCCTGGCTCTGAGTGAATGGAGCCCATTGAGCCGAACACAGACACCAGCTGCATCAGTCACTCGCCTGCCCTCCTGTCTCTAAACCACAGGCTAGAGGCTAAACTTTCATCTTAAAAATTAGTTAAAGGCTGAAATTTTATGAAAATGCATTATTTATATTTATATACATATAAAATATACAAATTTTATTTCTGGAATCCAACAACCATTGTAGAGTTGCAGACTTTTTTCTGCTCATTAAACACATTCAAAGCCATCTAATATTTTATGAAAATGTATGTGTGTGTGTGAATAGGATGAGTCAAATGATAAATTATAGGCATTTAATCTGCTCCATAAACAATTTTACATAGGCTACCTTATTATCCAAAGTGTTGAGATTTTTAGAATACACATTAGCTTGTTTTCCATCTTCAGGCTGAAATTTACAACAAATATTTGGGCCAATTTTCGCATTAGTCTGAACAAAAACATCTGACAGGCTGAATGAAAATGTAACTCCAGTGTCTGACAGCAGGTGGTGCTTATGGAACAGCAGAAATACAGCGGTTTCCACGGTAACCGCTGGAAACAAAGCAGCCCTGTGCTCATAAACACTGCTTTATTAGGCTTTTCTGAAGACCTTATGCATTCATGGAGTTCATTCATTCATACATTCTTTCATATCATTTCTTCCATGCTGCACTGTGAATAAGTCACGGCTGAAGGGCGTTGTTAGGCAAGTCACAATGCAGCACGACTCAAGCACCTTATATTGCTGTAATAAAACAGTTAATAAAACAGTGCTTTATCGTGAAGAAAACAGAGTTTTCTAATCAAATACGGTTTAAATGATCATTTAAATATGAAACAGTAAAACCAACCATTGGGACCTTTTACCGTGGTTTACACCAGACCTGCAGAAATGCCTCTGAAAACGGTCTGAACAGTCCTAAGGGCTAAATGCATGGGCATTTTCAAGAGTGTTATGATTGAATGAGATGTGCACAGCCCTATTGAAGTCACTGAGTCAAAAGCGCACAAAAGGAATGATAAAATAATCTCAAGATATCTGGCTGTAGGTGATGAGGAGTAACTCCAGCCAGAAAATAACCGGCCATTACAGCCAGATTGTGTGAGCTGCCCATAGCATGGAGAGCAGGTATACTTCAGCAGAGGAGAAAAAGACTTGGAATCAAAAGACGCTGAGAATAAGGCAGAAGTTGAACAATTTCTAACAGAACAGATGGCACAACGAAGGTGCTTGAGCAAAACTTCTATCAATTTCAGAGAGACAGAAAGATTTTATAACATAAGAGCGGGTCGACAGCTTCTCTTTGAGGTCTGGAAGTGTAATAAAGGGTTTTATTGTCTCACTTAGCCAGACATTTCAGTGTCGCTATAAAGTCTGGTCCATCTTGCAGTTTATTAGCAGTGTTTGGACAAACCCTGAACCCCGAGTATTAAACTTCACCATGTATCTCGCTCAGAGGCATTTGTGCTACAGACAAAAAGGTCTAGTTTATTATTATTTTTTCTAA